TTTATTTATTTATTTAATCACTTTCACCAGAGTGTGGTGAGGGTCGCACAACAGAGCGAGGCTCCAAATTAAGTGCGCCCTATATCCCACCCATCCCACCCCAGGGGAGGACATCCATCACACAGTAATCTCGTGTGTGGGAAATTAACGTCTCCTACCCCAACCCTGCAGGAGACGGGACCTCCATTTATTCGTCCCTATCCGAGAAGACTAGAATATCTAACCATTTCTTGATGTTATAGAAAGGTAGCAAATTCTTCTCAATTATTTTAAGACCCTACTGAGTGTTGGTCCGGCCGGGGCTCGAACCCTCGACCTCCCGCACAACAGTCCAGCGCTCCATCCATTGAGCTAACCGGGAGGCGGTTACATGAAGCAATGAAGTTTGTCTTGTCAAGATCTCCTTTATGCTATGCAGTCTTTTTTTTTTGACATGTAAAGTTCAACACCATACAACGAATAGTAATTTTATCACACAGAATCACGCCTAAGTATTCACTCACAAACAACTGAACTTCAGCTTTTATTCACCCTTTACGCCCTAGCATCCGTTTCATATTCTCCATACTGTTCTCCGTACATTTCCCGAGGTGCTGACAAGGAGAATTTGTCCAACTATCAAGAGCTTCTTTAGTTGGGGATCATTTCCTGAATCTGTTAAATGATTATGTACTGACTTTCTGACTAAAAAAGCATTGCAAGGCTCCACTGAACATACCATTTTGGTTTTGTCATCTTCAGCTGATGCAAAATGTCTTTTTGAACGCGAGGTGTAGCAGTAGCAGTGAGAGCCATAAAGGGAAGCTTAGGGAACTTGTTTCTCAACACTGAAAGTTTCTTGTAATCTGGGCGAAAATCATGTCCCCACTGACTCACACAATGGGCCTCGTCTATAACAATCCTGTCAACAATCATTACAGGTTACCAGTGAGTAGCCTCTTACTATCTTAACTGTTCAGATACAAAACATTAACGCGGTGAATGTGCATATGCGTTTCACACTCTCTTCTAAATGGGCCTGCAAGAATCATGGCTTTATTTCATTTCCAATCCGCAGGTCAAATGAAACTTATCTCATTACAAATTGTTTCAAAGTTTTTCCAGTTGTCATTGCTAAAAAAAACGGTGGCAGGTAAGAGTGTGGAATGGTGATAGTTAACGGATATTACCGTACCATGTAAGTGGCGGGGAAACAGTGGTCGTTTTTCAACTCACCTGTCCAGTAGTCCACGATTATACAGACTCTTCATGACAGAATCAAGTTTATCACTGGCTGATAGCTTCTCTGGAGTGACATACACAAGCTTGATAGTTGGATTTCTGAGCGACAAATCCTGATATACGGAATTCAGGTGTCTGGTTGAACCACTTCCTGCATCACCTAGCAAGTGAACAGCAGGCAGCTGTAGAAAAACAATTATGACCGTTAGAAATGTCAGAGATTCATTGTTTTGTAGCCATGGACAACAACTGAGATTTGGTCAGATGGAGGAAGCCTAACATTGCACTGGGCAAAGAATGCGAAAGTTGAACACCATTACAACCAAGTAGAAAATGAAGGATTGTAGGTAAAAGTATGTGTGTACTTTTATGTATGTAAGCACTGTACCTTCATTGACTGAAGTCTTTGTACTTGATCTTGAATAAGGGATCTGAGAGGTGAAATAACAAAGCTTGCTCCAGCCCCCATTAATGCAGTCAGTTGGAAACACAAGCTTTTTCCTCCACCAGTTGGCATCAGAATAAAACAATCATGTTTCATCATGGCAGCATTAATGGCTTCTAGCTGATTTGTTCTTAATGAACGGATGTTGTACACATTTTTTAATATTTTCCACATTTCTCTGTGATATGGTAAGTCTCTTCGTTTTAAATCATCTGCAAAAATGAAAGATACACTCATTTGCATACACATTCCAAGGATTTGTTGCTCAACAGAGATACAGAATGGAGTGGACAAAAAATGACTTGTAACATCAGACATTTTGATAAGGGATCTTCATCCACCAAAAGTGAGTCAAAAGCAATCACAAAAAGATTCTAATCAACCATATAATCAACCATGTTACTGAGTAACATCAAAGTTCCTAAATGTATCTAACTTAACTTGAGAAGTTTTGATATTATGTAGGTAAAATATTCAAGGTTAAAGAGGACTCAAATTTCTGCTGGGTACTGGTTTTTTACAACTCAAAAGCAAAGTTGTTCATTTGGCTAGGAGCAGTAAATTTTCATGGCATTTTATCAAGAACTGTTCTTTTTTCTGTGGAAATTAGCTCTAGCTGATCAAGGGCAATTTTCAAAATTTGCAAAAATTTATGTCCACAAAATTTTCAAGCTACACAGTTAATTAATATTTCAACTTCCCAATGAAAAATCATTATTAAACTTAATTTGTAGACTCACCATCATTGCCATTGTTGGGAATAGTATTAATTCTGTTTGGAGAATTGAAACTTGAGTTCAAATTGTTGCTTTGGGTGGCACCTGGTTTGTATTTACTTGACAAAGTAGGAATTGGTTGTTGCCTGCTGGCAGATGAATTATGAGTTGCAGTAGCAGGACTAATGGATTTCTTCTGCTGACCATTACTATCAAGAATACCAGCATTTGCCCATTCATCATCACTGCTATCCAACAGCTCTGTTAGCAGTAAGGAATCTTTTTTCACATCATCTATTATACTTGCAGAGTTCATAGAGACAGAATTTTGAGTTTTTGTAACAATGTAATCATTTCCACCATCCGGTAAAGAAGTACTTCCACTATAAAGTCTGATAAAATTCTCAGAAGTTGTTGAAAAATTGTTCTCCTTATTCAACCTTGAACTCAAAGAACTTGAGACACTCCTGTATCCCTCATAGAAACTTTCTCCACATGGTATAAAGGATGTATTGGACAAGGAAGCATTATTAATGCGTGGTGATTGCCTTGAGCCTGCATGTAAGATAAATGGTAAATCCAATCACGGCAAATCACTATGAATCATACAAACAGGAAATACATACATTTCTAGGTTTCATCATCTCAGTGTGCAACTCTTATGACAACAATTGAAATGTCCCCTCTTTCATCCTTGTCAATGTTGGCAGTGACAAAATTGGAACAAAGAAACTTTATGTCAAGAGGGGAGCACGGTGTTTCTAAAAGAACTTAACAAGGGTTGTGGAATCAAAAGCAAACTATTTATCTTTTGTGCTTACAAATCTTGAAAGTGCAGTCTTTGCTTTCTCCTCGCTGTTGTAACATGTTCTCAAGCTGTAAAATTTTGGATCTTATACTCTGCCTGTGTGAGAAATAAAAATTAACAAGACACAAAAAAGTTAGTTCAATAGTAATAATGAAGTAGTTTACAACAAAGCTAAATACTGCTCACTTAAATACTTTCAATTATACTCAGGGTAAAGTTGAAGAGCAAGACAACACAATGTTGTAATCAGGTCAGCATTTACCTGGAAGTCATGCCTTCAAGTTCTTGAACCTGACACTAGATTAAACTGAGTGAAGATCTTTTAGAGTCAACTCAATACTTCTTGTGAACAGATACGGTAATAGGACAACACATCAGCTGTAACTGCAACACAGTGATGAATTTTACATGATGTCTGCACCAACTGAAAAAAATGGCCTTTCATTCTAAAAATTCTTTCTGCCTTCTTGTGGTATATCTTTAAGAATGAACTTGCCTAGATAGCTGCTATAGCTAAATTCCTTATTTGACTGTTGCAATATGCCATTGCATATTTAATTAGCCCATAATTGTTTAGATCATTTAATCCCAGTATGCACCATTCTGTTGTTCTCTTAATTAGTTGTAGATTGCGGCAAAAAATTGTTATTCATAGCGTGTGCGATTTGTATTTAAAAAAGCCGTTAGGATGCCAAATAAACCTTGCTCTCTAAAACGAAACAGTTGTGCGGTCATGATATATTTCTTCATGCAGGAGACTAAAATAAAACCACATGAAGAAACATTGACTTTTAACTAGATGAGCAACCTCAAGTTCTGAGCCTCTTTAATACTCTTGGGCAAGCTGCAGATAATGGTTGGATCAGCTTTATCCAATAGGGAGCAGATATTTTCCAGTGTCTGATAATGCATGCTGTGCATCTCTTCCAAGTGAAGTTGGACCTTTATTGATGGTGTCTGTGTAAGCAAGCAAGGGGGTAACAAACATTATTTTATCAAAAATCTGATAAAATGCAAACCTCATAATGCATTAAGAGATTTAATAAAATTGATTGTTGACATCTATGAAGTACATGATGCTTCCACACCAAACAGAGGTGCCTTTTCTGGCCACTCATGATATCAGAATGTAGGTGAGTGTTTTATGGTATTTCCTTTCCAGAGTCAATGATGATATGTTGGTATTTCAAATAACAAAGCACTGAAAATCATTCTTCATTAAATAATCATTTACATATTGCTATTTCAATTAATTTATTAGCCACCCATGAATACATTTGTTGTATTTTAGGATAATCACACTAAGAAAACCACAACAACCACATGGTGTGTTCTCTCCTTTATTCACAATGCATCATGGGTATGATGATGTATGAATATATTACACTACTTTCCCCCACAAAGCAAAATGGGTTTCTTTTTTAACATAACTCAACAATAACAATCAAAAAATGAAAATACCTAGATGCTCAAAGATTAAGTCTATCAACAGGTTTTTTAATTCTTTCGGATCTCCTCAAAACACATGGAGAGGCGGAGGCCTCATGACCTAAACAAATAGGTGCCATTGACACAACTGGATTTGAGTTATCTGGTATCTGTGACAATTCTGAGGTTTTGTCAGGATTTTCCTTTATTTCTTACTCAGGCTGTTTATATGACTCAGGAACCATAACTTCAGCTTCCTCAACCCCATCAGGTGCATTGTCACAAGCCCTTATCATGTGATCAGTGTGGACATAACGATTCCGATATCCTGTTTTAACAATATATGTTCTGGGACCACAGACTTTAACAACTGTCCCTGGAACCCACCTATCAACCTGAGATTTTGGTCTGGTGTTTCGTACACGCACTCTATCATATACTTGGGAAAATCTCTCTGCATCAACTTTAGGATCCTTATAAACTGCTTGCTTAGTTTGCTTGTGTTGAACAGCTTGTTCTAGATCAGGTTTAACTAAGCTTAGCCTTGTTCTTAATTTAAGCTTTACCATGAGTTCTGCTGGGGTCACACCAGTGGTCCTTGAGGGGTTGTGCGATACCTAAACAAAAAATTTGCCAATCTATGCTTCATGGATATTCCCTTGGTTCCCTCCAATACTTGCTTTATCAATGCTTCTTTCAACACTCTCACAGACCTCTCAGCTGCCCCATTGGATGGTGGATGATACGGAGGGACCAAAGTGTGCTTTATTCCATTTTTACGCATAAATTCAGAAAACTCATGGGACACAAATTGTGGACCAGTGTCAGAGACAAGCTCTTCTGGTAAACCATGCTCTGCAAAGATCAACCATAACTCATCAATTGTTTTATAGGCCGTGGTTGAGGTCATATGTTTGGAATTAAAGGTGCACATGGTGGAGAACTCCTAGTGCTCTTACACACTGTACAACACCTCACTACATCTTCTCTTTCCTCATCCATTTTGGGCCACCACACACACGAGCGTACAATTGCCTTCATCCCGCACATACCAGGGTGTTTCCAGTGCAACTCCTTCAACATTTTGACTCTTAAAGAAGGTGGTATGATTACTCTTGAACCCCAAAGAATACAGCTTTGCTCACAGGACAACTCTAGCCTACGATTATGATAAGGTTTTAGTGTTTCATCCTCACATCTGTCTGGCCATCCAGACATAACAAAGTGAAGGACCTTGCTCATTGCTGGATCATGTTGGGTTTCTCTGGCAATGTCTTTGGCTAAGATGGGAAAATCATCATCAACAGCACTTACATGATAAATTGAAGCTTCACTAGCTACATCGGAGCCTTTGTGTGGCAGTCGTTACAATGCATCACAGTTGGTATGATCTTCAGATTGTTTGAATACAATCTCATAGTCATATGGGTATGGTTCATCCTCCACTGACTGGTTTATAGTGACCTTATAATCACTGCATATTCTGACTGATTTTGTCAGCTTTGGGTACTACTACTATTGGGCTTGCCCATTCAGATCTCTCAACCTTCTTTATGACACCATTCTTCTCCAGCTTATCTAGCTCACTCTCAACTGCATCTTTTAAGGCATATGGCACCTTTCTGGGTTTAAAGAAAACAGGTTTTGCCCCTTTTTTAATAGTTATATGGGCTTCCAACCCCTGAAGACCTTCATAACTATCCTCAAAGAGAAAATTGTGCTTTGAAATTAAGTTGTCAAGCTGACTTGTGTTTCCATGAGTTTCTGGGCTTCTAATCTGAAAGATTTTTTCCAATCCAACTT